CATAAAATGCTTGGTGATGTGTAGGTATGCGGACCTAAAGGAAAATCTACACCATCTGCTAGTGTGCCGCCACCCTTTACCAAGGGCACACCACCACCTCCAGAACGGAAACCAGTTCTCCGCCAGTCAAATCCTTTCTCAACGGTTTTACGTGATTACAATCATCAACGGGTTGATAAAGGCTTTCATCAGGAAGGTGAAATCTGGTCTTGTTCTTATAAGTGTACCCTACTATATGGGTTTTCTAGTCCGGCGTGAATTCACTTTAAATTTGCAATCAAATGTGTTCTGGGTTTCTAATTGTGATATGCCAAATCTGTTCATGTGGCAGGGAAATCATTGTCTGTGTTTGTCAAGAATTTACCAACTACGGTATCAATTCAAGATATTGTTAGAGAGTTTCAAAACTTTGGAACAATCAAGCAAGGTGGAGTGGTTTTGAGAAAGGGAAAGGTTGGTTATTTCTCTCTTAGTTGAATATTTTCCTTGAAGAAAAGAAATGGATACATGCTGATACAAGAACTGAAATTGGCGTGCAGGATGTTGGCATCTGCTATGCGGTTGTTGAATTTGAAGATGTCCAGGGTGTTTGCAATGCACTCAAGGTTTGAGATCTATCTAGCTTCAGTTTTCATTAGCTCTTTTGTGATATCACTGGTGTGTGTGTGTGTGTGTGTGTTTAGCTGCAATGTCACGGAGGAATATATCTCGATGTGCTATCATATTGTTGTTTTGATCCGCTAATTACCCTGAGCATGCCATCTTTTACATACATCAAAATATCCAATGATTGTTATATGCATCAATAGTGATGTCATTGCCTTTTTTTGTTAGGTTTCTCCAATAAAATTAAATGGAAGGCAAGTCCACATACAGGAGAGGAGACAAGTCAACAAGAACAACACTTCACGTGGGAGAGGTATGTTCTTCCAACTAGTACACCATACTTGTTATGGTTTGCCATTGCTTCCATATTTCCATGTCTTGTTAGTCTTGTTAATTAAGTAGTGCATTGCTTTAGAACTATTCTCGCGTTAAACCTGCAAGCAAACTGAGTTTGGGAATTGACTTGATCAGAAGGTGCAGGAAGAGCAGGAGGTCGAGGGAGATCATTTGGAATGGGAGCTTATCAACATAACCCTGTGGTTATGACTGGGTGAAGAGTAATAGCTTTTGTGCAGCTTGATACAGAAAACGGCTGGCCTTTTGTGAGTAGGGCTATAAAAGAAGCAAACCTTTTTTGTTTGATTCGTGATTCGTATTCGATTACTTCGAATCCGAATTCGAAATGAGGATGCTGTTTCCTTTTTTTTGCTTGAGCCGGGGGTCTCTTGAAAACAACCTTACTAGTTTGGAGTAGGTGCAAGGACTGCGTACACACTCATCTTTCGAGACCCTACTCTTGTGAGATTCAACTGGGCTGTGGTTGTACTCTCAATCGACTTGTGTAGAACTGTGTGTGCCTTTTCCTCTTTGGGTAATTTTGTGTTCGCTTCAGTTTCCAATCTAAGCAGCACTCCTTACACCTATATTTTTTGCATGTGGATGTGCTGTAGTGGTTGTTCATACTTGTAATTTTGAGTTGAAATTTTCTTTCAAACGAAGGGCTTATGTGATATTGTGTATTTGTGTGCTCATGTGAAAGTGTATATATGTGATGTATGTTATACACACCCTCTGTTTGGTTCAGTTTGAATTTTCTTTGAGACATGTTTGATGAAACCCACTACGCTTAATACTACGTATGACAACCGTCTATGATATTGTACACGATAATCATCTGCGAACCAAGAGAGTTCACATACGCTTATTGTCATACGATGGTCGTTCGTATTATCAATGGTGGCGGGCATCTAACATTTTTAATTTTTATTTGTACAATTGTGGGATCTCTTCCCAATTTTAATATAGAGTACTACATCATGTTTAGTTAAAGGAATTTTAATCGTCATAGAAAAGAAAATATTATGAATATTAGAAAAGAAAATGTTTGATTAGAGATTTTAAAAAGGTACTCCGTATGTAGGAGGAAAGAAATGAAGAACAGATATTTCAGCAAAACTATTCTCTTTTTTTTTGCGAGGAAATGAACGAAATACGAGAAATTATTATTAGCTACACTCAGTTAGAAGTGAGTAAGAAACCCGTCACTAATGGTTTGTGTTGAAACATTCTGATACTGCTTTTGAATTGTATCGTAATAAGGAGTCTGTTTTTCTTTTGTTCCGAAGCAGTCACATTTCCTGGACAACATAAAAATATACTCTAAATACCAACTAAGAATTGCATTTTAACTTCATTGACTTAGCAATTAACAAATGAGCATAGACTGAAAGTCTTTGCAGCCGTGAACTCAGCCAACCTACTGGCCTTTCAGAGCCATGAGAAAGTTCATATGAGTCTTCCACCAAGAAACTGGTATTAGTCAATATAATCAATATATAAATAGAGCAAGAGAAACTGAAGAAGTTAAAGGCTGTGGACATGTTTTAGGTGGACCATTGCTTGATGTGAAATCAGTCCATGTACTACCAAAAGGAGCACACAAAGGTAGACCAGTTGTTGTGTATGGTAGGATTCATGTTAATGATGTGTGCTCTTTTATTTGAGTAAAAAAAAGAATGGACACCGGACACTAGAGCATTGAATGTAAAGTTAAGGGTCAAAATCTTCATATTTTGCAATCATCATCTTTGGTCCTTGTTGAAAACAGAATGGTAGAAGCTGCAATCATACTAGGTGTAAAATGACCACATGTGGAATCCAGTTGCGCCGAACTGCTGTACATTCTTCGCTCTGGTAGTCTCAGTAATTCAACCACCTTCTCGGCGCCAACCATCTGTTTTTGTCTAATGCTCTCATCAAGAATCAACCTCCTGCATGCGCACAAGCAATCTATGAGTCACACAGGAAGCAGTGAATTTAAGAAGAGGATGATGACTCAAGAGCCTAACCTGAGCAGCATTGCCAATATTGAGGGTGTGCAATCATGAAACAGAGCTTCGGGTATTACAGGTGAATGTAAAAGGATGTTCGGTAGGGAAATATACGAGACTTTAGCTTTGTAACGTATGAACCATTCTGTTAGGAGATGGGCTCGATAGGCCACGACACAGGGTAAGCGTGCTAGCTGCAACTCCATGGCAGCTGTCCCAGAAGTGCATAGCGCGACATCGCTAGCCTATTTTTAGACAGACAAATATGAAATATATATTCTTATAAATTTCAATGGGTTTAAGCATACTCCCTCCATTATGTCCTTTTAGATACATTGAAAACCTAATGAATTTAGACATACGTTATGTCTACATTCAAATGTATCTAAAAAGTCACAATGGATAGTTAATATGGAATTGAGGGAGTAACTTTTATTTGTCCCCCCTAGTATTTTCCGGGTTCTAGTTGAACTGAACTGAACTGAACTCTAAATCAACTAGATCATTTGAATGAAATTAGCAAGTATCCTTACACTAAAAGAGTTGTACTTCATCTGGGGTGATCCCCCTGGAACCAATATAAGAGATGCAGGCCAGTCAAGGGCAGCTTGACTGATGAAACTCTCCACATGCTGATTAGGTGCTACAAGGATGGTCGTGATGATGTCTGGAAATGAATCTTGATGTTCCTTCACAGTGTTTTTGAAGATGGGAATCATTCTAGTAACCTCTTGCAATCTGCTTCCAGGAAGCAAGGAAATGACTTTGGATCCTTCACAAGTCAAGTCACGGCTGCTAAATAAATATTCCCTCCATCCCAAAATAAATGACATTTTAGAAAAGCGCAAATGACCCTTCTAGTACCCTCATTTAAATTTAATCATAAATGCATTTTATTTCTTTTTAGGTATTGAAGCATTATATGCTGGGAGAGTTGATGCGGACAAAATTGAAAGATTAGTAAAAGAATGCATTGACTTCCTAGAACAGCAATTAATTTTTACAATTACTTTGGGAGCATGCAACTAGATCAAACTTTTTGGTTCATGAGGCCAATCAAATTTTAATGATTTTTTGGCATTCTAAGGATCATATAAACTGTATGTATTGGTTGTCCAGATAATTGTTTTTCCTTTATATTATACCAAAAATCTGGAAAGTAACATGAACCAAAGATTTATACGAGTTACTATATGCCTATACCTGAGGATATTCCATGGTCATTCCTAAACTTTTCGGCATTCCCTTTAACTTTCCATCTCCCTTCTGTAGCATCTTTCACCTGAAAGAGATTCATATACGTCAATTAACATTGGTTCAAGCTTAAAACTCAATAAATTTATTTTTGTTATATACGAGTAAATATTAGGAAATATGAACACTCATTTCTCTTTGCATTTCAAGGAAAACCAGGTATAAGAAGATAACTTTTCTTAGCATTTCCTGGATTTGTTGTTGTTGCTATTCCGTAAAGTCATGATAGTAGTAAATAAGGCTAAATGGTGCAGATTAGTATGATGAAGAAACAACTAAGCATTTAGCCTTTTTTAAATGCTTTTTACAGTTGCCTCAGAAGTGAAAAGCCAAACACTTGGGAAGCAATTTTTCACCTCAAACTCCAACACATCTTCAAGGGTGGGGTGGCCTACAAAGGTTGCAGCTAATCCATATGACCTACACACTTCTGCCTCAAAAGGAAGGATACACAACAAGTGATCCACAAATTCAGACAGCCCTCCAAGTCTTGCTTCGCCGCCTTTCCAAGCCCAGAATGATGGCGCAACATAATGAAAATGCAAAGCGTCACACATTCTTTGTTTTCTGGACCGTTCTGCAAAAACCATTTTCCCAGTTTGTGGAGAAAAAAAACTGCTACAATATCTATCTTAAGATCAAAATCTGCTGCTGTGTATTACCCCGCAAGTGCTTTAGGAAACGAAAGGAGAATCCCTTCGAATCCACTGTGATTACAGCATGAGGCCGAAAACTATGAGCAGCCTGCACTGCTTGTTTCAATCTAACCTGTGATTCCAATTCCAATGTAAAATGCATATATATGTTTTACCAATTAAAGCATTGCACTAGTAATCTAAGTAAAGTGTCTTTCTTAATGAACGAAAAAAGAAGGAAAAGAATTTTAGCTAAAAGCAATTAATAGGGATTAACAAATATACAGTACCATACCCTGAACTGATTAAGATGTGGCAATAATTCCCAAATACCCATAACTGCAATATCCTCCATTGGAAAGACAGAGTTCAACCCTTGCTTTGACATCATATGCCTGCATAAATCCAAAGAAGCAAACTTCGCTGCATAAATCCAGAAAGAATTAGTTTATGATTTCTATGGTACCAAAAGTAGACTAAAGTTTTGAATTTGAGAAGCAACCAATTATCAGCTAGAGTTACCCTCCAATGCCGGAAAACCGAAGGGGGAGAGGGGAGAGGTTTTTGAGAGAACTCATAAGACGCGCACCAATGGAGTCGCCGGAAACCTCGCCGGCAACAATGAAGAGCCGGAGTTCTCCGTCATCGGAAGCCAGTTCCACGGTGGATCGGGTTGAGGCCGTGAACGACGCTGTCCTTCTCGCCAGAAACCGCGCGAATTCCGAAACATTCGAATTCCAAACTGCTCTGGTCCTCATCGTTCGCTCTTCCTTCGCATAGCGGCGAGAGAGAAAAAGCAAACGAGTGGGCACGCAGGGCAAATAAGAGAAATATCAGGGGTTAAATTTGATTAGTGGGAAGTTTAAAAAAAGAGGTTTTGAAAAGTCGAATTCACCCACGAAGTGCCAGCAGGTTCAGGAGTTACTGCAAGACCGGGACTGTTAAAGATTCCATCTTTTTTCAATGGGTCTCTCTGCGGTAGTCGGCAGATCATCAGAGAATGGGGCTGAACAAGCAGAGATGTGCGCAGAGGGCGGCGACGGCGGCGCTTGGGGTGATGGGAATTTTCTTGGTGGGATACATTCTTGGTCCGCCACTGTACTGGCACCTCAAGGAAGGCTTAGCAGCAGTCAGCCGCTCTTCTTGTCCTCCTTGTAACTGTGACTGCAACTCTCAACCCCTTCTATCCATTCCTCAAGGTATTCAATTCATTTCTCCATGGATCTTCTTCGATCCCTGTGTTTCAACTTCCTTTGACTATCTGGGTTCTGATGTTTATGTGGTTATAGTCTAAATCATTCATTATCTGGTTAATCTCAGTTCATCTGCTCGGTAAAGTAGCAAACTTTTCCTTCTTTCCTAACTTCCATCAGCTTGCGCGTTTAGTAAATTGGTCCTCCTTGAAGAATTCAAGAAATACACCAAGTGAACAGTATATTGATTTGCTTGATCAGCTTCCCTTTGAAGCTAAATTACTTCATGTTCATATTTGATCCTCTTCATTTGAACGGGTTCTTAGGGAACTTGTAGATGTTCAAATTAACATACGGAGTATGAAGCTGTTTTGTTTAGTGAGAAACGAATCCACATATTTTACAGCTCCAAATTCGGGTTATAAAAATTTTCCTTTAGTTTGGATGCCAAATTCAGTGATTGTGGCTCTCTATAATGGAGTATTACCACCAAACAAACAAACAAACACAATATCACTGCCGACTTGCCGAGTGAAAGACTGAACCTTGTGTATTTAATCTATTATTGTTTCTGGCATGAGTGCAAGTTGAGGCAGCATGATCTATGGCTAACTGTCTCCGCCTCTAAAGAAGAGGCAGTTCTCCAAGAGGGGATAGACAATGTCATCCTTTTAATTAACTACATTTTTTTAATTTAATGATTGCTTACTCAGGGGAGTTTGGAGTTTAATGAGTAACATTGTAGCTTGGGATTCAGGTATATGAGTGTTAGTTAAGTGGGAGAGTACCTTTGTAGGGGTTTATGTTTTTGGTCTTTGTTATTTTTATGACCTTTGATATTGATACATGATAAGGCACAATGACGTCGTTTGATCCATGTAGCCGACCCCATCCAGTGGGATAAGGCTTTGTTGTAATTTTTATTCACAATTTCTTTATTCCAGAGTTGCTTTTTAACCTTATGCTGCAAAAGCCTGATGGGGGTATACTGGACTGTAGGAGACGAGAACTTACCATTTTGACTCTCTGTTTTTGCAAATGACGTGCTGAATATTCTTCAAACCTTGTATGCCATGCATCATTTAGTCTTTGTTTATTGCTAATTGGCTAATTAATGCACGAGCTCTCCATATAGACGAATCGTAGATCTATTCCAACACCTTGTTGATGTTATCTTTGAACTTAAAATTTCTCGTCCTTTTGGCAAAACTTTCCTGACTCTGATTTCTGTCTTCTGAATGCAGGATTGAGCAATGCTTCCTTTACAGGTTAGTGAAACAAACACTCCATCATTCTCTCTTCCTTTTGTCTTAACCATTCCTGCAAGCTTTCCCTGGTTTAGCCCACATGAGATTTCAAAGTGTTTCTTAGTGACATTCTCAGTACTATCTATCAGATTGCGGAAAGCATGATCCGGAGGTGGGTGAAGATACAGAGAAGAACTTTGCAGAGCTGTTGTCAGAGGAACTGAAGTCGCGAGAAGCAGAAGCCTCTGAGAACCAGCACAAGGCCGACATTGCACTGCTGGAGGCGAAGAGGATGACATCTCAGTACATGAAAGAGGCAGACAAGTGCAACTCCGGGATGGAGACGTGCGAGGAGGCGAGAGAGAAGGCTGATGTGGCACTGGAGGCGCAGAAGAAGGTGACCGCAACGTGGGAGCTGAGGGCCCGCCAGAAGGGATGGAAGGACAAGTCGTCTTCCAAGTCGCGATGAGAGCATGTCAAGTCCTCCAAGCCTTGCCATGTACATTTGTTCAAAATTGTTCCACTAATGACTCTAGCCTCAAAGGATCTAGCTCTCATTCTTGGTGATTCAAGATGATTGTGATGGAAATGATTCTTATGGTCTATGTTTTTTTTAAAATCGTTCTTCCGGACAAACAAACAAACAAACAAGCAAGCAAAGTACTAGGCTTGTCTTTCTGGTTAAAAGGATCTTGCAAATGGAGTGGATGTTATCATCATTCTCATAATGTTATCATCATCCTCGTACTTATGGTGGAGCTTTTTTTTGCTCGTATTTCCTTTTTCATTGCATTAAAGAGTTGAATATCTAAAATCAAACATGTTTTGTTCTATAATTTCTTTTTTCTTTCTTGTGAAGATAGAGACAATTTTAAAAGTGAGATTGGCAAAGAGTATCCCGATATATTTCATGCTATATTTAAAGTTGATTCTAATCTGATCTAGTTTGATTTGAATGGATTGATTTTAATAAGGATAAAGTTGCGTTTTGTTCGCCTAATTTAATCCAATTTTTTGAAGATCTGATTTGATTGCAGTTATAATTAAAGTTGTTTTTTAACTGATCTGGTCTGATCTGATTATAATAATAAGAATAAGTAATAAGCATAAAAAATAAGTGGCCGAAGCATTTGTAGTGAAATATGTATTTCTTGGTGTGGAGAGTTCTCAGTGGAGATTTTTTACTTCCGATGTTTTGCTGCGACATTTTTCATGTCATGGCAAGCAGGCCTATGTAGGGGCATATACAGTGCTTTCTCGGGATTCTTCGGGTATGTTTCTTTATGCCTTTTCTGACAATCCTCATAGGTGGGACCCCATGGTGGGCAGGGCAACAGAGTCGAGGTTGTGTTAAGTACCTTTCGTTGAATGTAGTTGAACTCATTTAGTAGCTATGGATTTGTTTAACATAGTGAAACATGTTTAGTTGAACATAGATTCGTTGAACACAGTTTAACTCGTTCTAGATACTGAGGATGAATCGGATAAACCCCCTTACTTGAACGTAGCTTAGTTGAACATAATTCAACTAAGCTACGTAGTACCTTAGTTGAACACCAAATTCATTGAACATAATGAGTTAAATCGAAATCTTGAACAACAGATTTGTTTCACATACTAAACTTCACATGAGTTGATAAACTAAATGAGTGTAACTATGAGAAACTCATTACATATTCTTATTTAACTTGACCATATGTATGTGATATTTAAGTTAGAGTGAAGCGACTCATCATTTAGTTCGTGTTCCATCCCTAAAGAAGCTATATAAGGCAGAAGCTCTACGTACAATTTTGAAGCCGAGCTATTCGAGCAATGGGGCATAGAGACCGATAAGATGGTTGGTTTAAGTAGAGCTGCCAACCCATTACGGAAACCTGTAGGGATTAGTGTATGAGACAGCGGACCATAAACGGACGCATGTGACTCACCCTTTTCTGGGAAACATAGCATGTCATGAGAGAGAGGTGAGGTTTGGAACCCTGCTGCTCGAGGTTTTACAAAATGAGTGTCACGGTCCGCTTTAAATGAATTGTTCATTTCACTATGTTACCTATGTTTAGTTTCACTATCTATGTTCAGTTTCAATATCTGAAACTCATTCAAATCGTGAACTTTCAAGATTTGCATATCACTCAAAAATTGACAAACTGAGTGCGCGAATGACGCTTTAGTATTTCTTAAGTTGCGCACTAAAAATTGTTTGAACACACCCTATGATTTCATAATTTGCGCTTTAGAGTTTGACATAGTGTTCTAGGTGCGAAGAGGTCAACCATACGTGAAATTTGTAGAGATATTTTGAAGAAAATCAAAATATATCAAACTAAAAAAAGGGCAAAAAATTGAATCAGACAACTTAAATTACAAAATGGAAAAGGGAGCAACATTTTTTTGTTTCTGAAGAATAAAAGTAAGGACCGTGCTACAGTGCACCCACCATTGCCTCCTTTGCTGCCTCCATATTTAACCTATTTTTTTACCTTTTCTCTATTCTTTTTTTTCTTTTTTTTCTTTTGTTCTTTCCTCTACGTCGCTGCCTGGCGGCTTTGCTCTTCTGCGCAAGCCAGCCGCACCACTCTTTTCTCCATTTTCTGCGCTCTCCTTCCTACAAGGCAGGTAATATCTTCTTTTTCTTATCTTCCTCTTCATATCTCTGATGCGCCAACCCCTGTAGCACGATCATCCCTCTGTCAATCTCTTCTCTTCATTCCATTTTTAGTCAATTTCTATAACAATAATTTTTTGAATTTATGTGGAGTACATAGGGTATTTGGTGATTATGAACTTACAAACATGTATTGTTACACATGTTGAGAATGATCAACCACATGATTTTGGTGGTGAAGAAGAAGACCTGATTTTATATGATTTGCAGCCCAGTTGTAAGTGTTGGTATTTAGACCCCATTCTATATTCATTTGAATTAGTGAAAAAATACTGTTTTGTTTTGATCTTACAGAGATTAAAGTTCTGTGAACCTAGGGTTTGTCCTTGTCACAGATGCTAATAATCTGTATGCACTCTGCATTTGGTGTATTTTTGTTTTCTTCATAGTCAGGCATTGTACTATATTAAAGGTGCTATTTTTTGCAGAGAAAAACCCGAAATCGAAAGAAGGTAGAAAAAATGATAACCTACCTAATAAGAGGAAGAAAATGGATGCATCTGAGATCTTTGCATCACAACGGCATCATGCTTGGCCCGTGCAAGACGAAGATGGTGTTTACGACCTCACCTTGGGAGGTCTGGAGCTTGGCATTTCACTACATTGACTTTTAATTGTCCTTTTTTGGCATCAGATCTAGAACTTTGCTCTCATTTTTGGATTGAGCATGGGAACTGTATTTCACATAGCTTTTTGCTTTTTGTGTAAAGTATGTAACAAATATGATAACTTTCTCTGAGTTCCATGCACATAAACTGATGTAAACCTGATGTAACTCTGTTTTTACATACATTAAGTCTTTGTGAAGTGTGTGAAATAGACAGTTATTCCATGTGAGCCTGCTGAAATCTAATGTATGCGTTTTAACTTTCTTTTTACCTTTACAAGACCCCCACATATGTGATAAGATTCTGAAGATGGTGTATGTACATAAAGTTATGTAACTCTGTCGTCACATACATTAAATTTCTGTGAAACGGATAAAATAGACTGTTATTCTTTGTGAGGGTTCTGAAAGTAAAACTGTAAATCAGTTATAAACTAATGTAAATCAGTCATCACATACATTAACACATTGTGCATTAACAAGTACAAATTCATGATTATAAAAGCCCCATTACAAAGCTTTCATAAAAGTCTAAAGTGTTTCCCCAAAAAATACATTACAAAGCACATAAACCATTACAAAGAGTTTCACAAAAATTAAAGACCCCTAAAATTGTAAAGTAAAAATGCTAAATATTGGGTGTTTTCCTTCCACGCCATAACCTAGCTGCAAATTGACATCAGAAATCAGCCATGTGTTCAGAACTGCAGTCCGTGCTTAATGGTAAGGCTAGCAACAAATACTCTAGAAATGCTAGCACCATCACTCCACAATTGCCATACCTGCAAGGGAAAATAGTATTAAAATAACAAGCAAACCTCTTTCACAAACAATAATGTTATATGAAGTTCAATAAACAGAAGTTAATCGTCTATGAGATACAATTCACATAAAGCAAGCAAAAATAACAAGCAGACCTCTTTCACAGACAATAATGTTATATGAAGTTTAAATAACAGAAATTAACCATCTATGCCATACAATTCGCACAGTAAGCAGAAATAACAAGCAAACCTATTTCACAGACAATAATCTTATATGAAGTTCCAATAATAGAAGTTAATCATCTATATCATTCAAAATAAAACCTCTTTTATGTTTGAATGGCTTTTATAACAATTTTAGAAACATTTAGATCATTCAAAGAAACTGGGAAAACCTGTAATTCAGTCATAAACTATATGAGTGTTTAATGTAAAACAATCCTTTGCACAACTGCAAAAAACAGCCGTAAGACTTGAATTAAATGTATTAACTGAACAAATTTTCATTTGGAAAGAAATGAATAGCAGGTGGACAAAACACTCCCTCCAAACACTGCTTTCGGGACAAAGTCCAATAACAAGTGGGGTACATGCTAAGGACCATGCTACATTTACACCAAAAAATGTACATATAGCTTAATCCAAAATCTAAAGTGTTTCCCCAAAAAAATACATTTCAAAGCACATAAATAAGATTACAAAGAGTTTCACAAAAATAAAAGACCCCTAAATTCAACTTCATAAATAAAATACATCATCTTCTTCTGACTCCTCATCATCTTCTTCAGCACCTCCCCTCCTTTCTCTCTTCTGTCTCTGAATTCTAACAGAGCATCAGAATCCTGTGTACAAACAAGAGCAGAAACCATATATATTTCGAGACAGTGACTGTAGGTATTATGTAAATTCACAGAGGTTATGAAGAATTATTATTTTCTATTAAGGAATAATGAGGGAGAAGCCTCGTATAAATAGTTACAGAGGATTTCTAATTACGTAAGGAAACCTATACATGTAAACTACCATAATTACAATAATCACATAATTAATATTAAATATATACATAACATATTTAACATGCACCCAACTATGTGACCGGCGAAGGACGGACGCCAAGACTATGTCTGAAGTCGGAGAAGAGAAGAGATGGAAGCCCTTTAGTGAAAATATCTGCATACTGAGAAGAGGAGGGGACATGTAACACTCTGACATGTCCTAGGGAAACCTTGTCTCTGACAAAGTGGATGTCAACTTCTACGTGTTTGGTGCGCTGATGCTGTACTGGATTTGATGACAGATACACAGCACTGACGTTGTCGCAAAAGACCAATGTGGCACACCGCAGGGGTTGTTGAAGCTCAAGGAGAAGATTTCGGACCCAGCTTGCCTCAGCTATGGTGTTTGCCACGGCACGATACTCGGCCTCAGCACTGGAGCGGGAGGTGGTGGCCTGGCGCTTGGAGGACCATGAGATAAGGTTGTCTCCAAGGAAAACGCAGTACCCCGAGGTGGAGCGACGAGTATCGGGGCATCCAGCCCAATCAGCATCGGAGTAGGCCTGCAAAGAATCTGTGCCCGTACGATGAAGTGTGATGCCATGAGTAGCAGTACCATGAATGTACCGTAGAACCCTCTTCATGGCTGTGAGATGGGTGCTGCGGGGGGCATGAAGGTGGAGGCAGAGCTGCTGGACTGCATATGTAAGATCAGGCCGAGTGAAAGTAAGATACTGTAAGGCGCCGACGATGGATCTGTATATAGAGGGGTCCGGAAGTGGTGTTCCGGACGTGGCTGACAGCTTTGCTTTGGTGTCGACTGG